AAATTTGTGTGTAATTATCTTTCAAAAAATTTAAAACTCTATGTATACATGATAGTATGCAGAGAGGACTGGCCTTTAAGGTACTATGTGCATTTTTTAAAAAGATTTATTTATTTATTAAGCATACAATGTACTACTGGCATGGAAGGCACCATGCCTCATTACAGATGATGTGAGCCACCATGTAGTTGCTGGGAATTGAACTCAGGACCTCTGGAAGAGCAGCCAGTGCTCTTACCCTCTGAGCCATCTCTCCAGCCCCTATGTGCAGTTTTCTGTGCTGCTGAGGCTCTTGAAATTAAACAACTTCTATTTTAAGATCAAGATGTGCTAGAAAGCCGGGCCGTGGTGGCGCACGCCTTTAATCCCAGCACTCGGGAGGCAGAGGCAGGCGGATCTCTGTGAGTTCGAGACCAGCCTGGTCTACAAGAGCTAGTTCCAGGACAGGCTCCAAAAAAACCACAGAGAAACCCTGTCTCGAAAAACCAAAAAAAAAAAAAAAAAAAAAAAAAAGATGTGCTAGAAAGCATAAACGCTTACAAATAACACAGCATAAAAAGTTACAAAAGTTTCTTTTATTTTTTGAGAGACAGAATTTTGAATTTTTAAAGAAATGAATACTGAACAGATACTAAAATGAAAATTTCTGTATCAAAAGTACCATTTTACTAAGATACAGATAGGTAATTAGCTACATATATATCTCAGGGATCTTTTGGTTCTGTCCAAAACAGTCCTTAAAATCCCAAGGTTAACATCATTTTTACCTTCAGCAAGCTCCTCCAGACTTGGCACATGAAAAGAAAACTCAGTACAAGCCATTTCCTTTCTTCTCAGCAAGGTCGCTCAGACACAGCAGCTATTGTTAACTATCACGAGAGTGCACAGGGCACCAGCAGGAAGAGTCCCCGGGGTTCTGGAAATGAGTAGCAGAGTTCAGTTACTAGATGAAGGCAAAGGCCACCGAGGTTCACTTACGTAAGGAGGGCAAAGTGCCCCAAGCTTCCTTCAGAGCCCCAAACACCGTCATGTCCATTCCATGTGAGCAGGAGCAGGGGGACCTCTTTTCTACCGTCCTTTCCCTCTTCTTCCTTTTAGTTTTTCTATTTTCTTCCCTCCCTTCTTCCTTCCTGGCGGTGTTTTATGTAGAAACCAGGGTCTCAGCTAAGTGCTGTATCCCAACCCAACACTACTTGAATCTGTTCTCTTTCATTTCTGTGTTCAGTACTGAGATGGAAGCAGGGCCTCAGGCATGCCAGGAAAACGCTCTCCCCCGAGTGCTATACTTAGCTCAAACCTGGGCTTTTCTAATGCAGGGTCTAAGAACATGGTCTTGAAACTAAAGATCTGTATAAGGATTACAAACAAATGGTTTACTGTATGTGTGCATGTGCATATGTACGTACAGTTTACAGGAGTCTACACTGTTAGATCTGTATAGAACACACAATTGATCATGTTTCCTACTCTCTTATTTGACGTTTAAACTACAAGTTAGTTGTCTTAGACTTAAGTTGTTTTAATATTACACTTGTTTATTTGTGTATGTGTGTGTTTGTGTGTGTGTGTGTGTGTGTGTGTGTGTACGTGCACACCACAGTACACCTGTGGAGACCACAGGACAACTTATAGGACTTGGTTCCCTCTCCAACACGTGGATGCTGGGGACTGAAGTCAGACAGTCAGTCCTGATGGTAAGTTCCTTTACCCACCCTCCAGCTTGCTGGTCTGACTACCCTTATTAGTATTTCTAAATGGAGAACAAATTTTATTCTAAAGTAGATCTCAGTATCAACAAACAGGAGTTCGTTTATTTTTTCCCTTGAAGCTACAAAATTATGTTATAGGATATGCTGTCAAATTTCATTTCTTTTTACATTTGAATTATTCCTTTATCATTTTAATAAGAGACAATTTTAGTTACCAATTGAAATGGAAACCTATAGAATGATTAGATTCTGAAAGTCAAATTTTTACTTTAGTTTACGAATAACCTAACCAATATAATCTTCTATTTCCAAGGACGCAGAGCAAGAGCACTTCACAGTAAACAGACACAAATATGCAAAGGACAGTCAGGGCTACATCGAGAGGACTGTGAACCCAAAAGCAGCGCCATGAATCCAGTGTGCACTCCAATCCCAAGCTGAATTAGCAGCGAAGAAGTGGTCCCTTCATCTGACAAAAGGAAGTAAGTGTTTAGAGTGACCCTGCAGCACCTACTAGAACTGGTCATACTTAAGCTTCATCTTCCTCCCAGACTGGATTTCTTCTCTCTTCCAAGTATCTTGCACACAATGGGTGCTTTATTAGTTCACCAGTAAGCATTTATGATATACCAGACTGGCAAGATTCAAGCACATGTCTGGCTTCACAGCTGTGCAAATTGTACAGTCAGTCACACAGAACCCCATATTCATATAGGTCTATGCATATCAAAAACTACACATACAGGTGGCTTGTGTTTTCTGTCTTGTTTTGATTTTTTTGTTTTGTTTTGTTTTGTTTGTTTGTTTTTGATGGTGCCAGGGATTGAACTCAGGACCATGCATGCTAGGCAAGCTCCCTATAACAGCTCTGTCTCTAGGCTAACAACTTAACATCTGAACTGTGTTTGGAAACTCACAGGCTAGTGAAGCATGCGCAGGGCAAAGGTATGCTCGCCCCACCTGGCCACCCACTGGATAAGGTAGGGGGTTTGCTTTGTTTTGTTTTGTTTTTTTCAAGACAGTGTTTCTCTGTGTAACCCTTGCTGTCTTGGAACTTGTTCTGTGCATCAGGCTGGCCTCGAACTCAGAGGCTGGCCTGACTCTGCCTTTGAAGTGCTAGGAATAAAGGTGTGTGCCACCACCACCGTCACCTGGCCTAATAAGGTGTTTTTAATGTCCCATTAGAACTTAATCCTGGTAGATTGCCATGGTGGGGAGTCCACAGATAGTCAATTCTACAAATTCCAGACTACAGGCAAAATATGTAGGGATCAGGAAGTAAAAGGAAGGCAAGTGAGTTAGTTTGGTACATCGTTCCACAGCTACGGTAACAATTCATAACTGGTACAAGTTATGGAGCAGAAATCCAAACTGCAGTGATTCTTTTTTTTTTTACCTTTATGACTATGGATATTTTGTTTGCATGTACATCTGCACACCATGTACGTGCCTGGTACCTGCAGAGGCTAGAAGGGGACATCGGATTCCCTATAACTGAGTTACAGATGGTTGTGAGCTGCCACATGGCTTCTGAGAATCGAACCAGGGTCCTCTGGAAGAGCAACCAGTGTTCGTAACCGCTGAGCCATCTCTCTAACCCCTCAAACTGCAGTGATTCTTTACTAGGGTCCCTTGACCTTAGTAGGCCCTAAGACCTGAGCACAACTTACTCCATGATGGAAGTGCCATTCAGGCTGTAAAACTCAGAACATAGCACCACCTGCCAAGACTAAAACAAAGGCCTAATCTATCAAAAGTGTGGATCAAAGTCCATAGTTCTGGGACAGCTTCTAAATGTACTAACCTTGCTCTTTAGCTTTCGTAGTTCCGCTTGGCTAACTGTTCATGTTACCTAAGTATGCCAACCAAGATATGATTTTTGTGCTTAAAAGCTCACCCTGGCTCAGTTTTACACTGGGATCCTGAACACCCAGTGTGGCTGCCAGTCAGCTAATAAAGGCTTTCCATTGGTTTACACCCATGTCTGAGCAGTCTTCTCTGGTGAACGTCCCAACAATTCTGCTCATTAAGTTCTTTTTTTTTTCTTTTTTGGTTTTTCAAGACAGGGTCTCTCTGTGTAGCCCTGGCACCGTGGAACTTACTCTGTAGACCAGCTTGGCCTGGCCTCATAGAGTCTGCCTCCTGAGTGCTGGGATTAAAGGAATTCTCCACCACTACCACCCAGCTGCTCATTACATTCTTTTCATTCTTTTTTCTTTTTCTTTTCTTTCTTTTTGTTTTTTTTTTTTTTTTTTTTTTTTTGTTTTTTTCGAGACAGGGTTTCTCCGTAGCTTTGGAGCCTGTCCTGGAGCTAGCTCTTGTAGACCAGGCTGGCCTCGAACTCACAGAGATCCGCCTGCCTCTGCCTCCCAAGCGCTGGGATTAAAGGCTTGCACCACCACCGCCCGGCTCATTAAGTTCTTATGCACTGGCAGTGCACACATAAGGAAAGATGGTAAAACTTGTGCTAATAATTCTATTTTTTATTTATTTAGGGGAATAACATTTTTTGAGTCATGGTCTCACCATGGAGTCTAGGCTGGCCCGGCAATCTTCCTTGCTCAGACTCTCCAGTTCTGGGATTTCCCACCGTGCCCAGCTAGTTGTCTCTTTCGTTTTGAACAGGACCCTGCATTTTGACTTTGCACTGGTCCTTTCGCAAGACACGGGCTCTGAATACGACAGTTTGCAATGCCTGTCTTGGAGTTTACAGCGATTGCACTGGCTGATCGCAAGTAGACCAATACCTTACGTATCCAATCACAAAACGGTAACAACCACTGACTAAGGGCAGGTAGCCCTGCTGGCTGGCTTGTCATACAATACAGAGGTGCAGCATGGAAAATAACTCAAACCAGCTCATTACTGAAGAGAAAGTACTAAACCTTGGTTTACACTGTTCAGTCAGCTGAGGATCCTAGGGAAGCAGCCCATGCCTGCTGCAAGCGAACTCCTGGAGGGTAGGTAGCGTGCCCAGAGCAGCCGGCACCCTGTGTCTGAGGGGGAACTCGGTCCCCACAACAAAGGACGCTCACCTGACCCGCAGTGTCTTCAAGCTTGCAGGAATGCCTTCTTTCCACCACTCAGGACAGAGCCTCCCTGTCCTGCCGCTGGCTCTCCTCTGCCAGCTCAGGGCCTGAGGACGAGCCGGGTACCGCCCCTCCCGGAGGCCCGCCCACCACAGTCCACCCACATGGCCACGCCTACCGCGTAGCCGCGCTCTCGTACCCACCCGCCGCTGCGAGTTCACGCGAGATTTCGGCTGTCCTAGTCCGGCTGCAGCGGGCGGGAACGGTCTTTTCGACGTGGTGGAGGAGGAAGACGCCAGTGTTTGCGTTGGGAACCCGGTCTGGCGCGACCGAACGGTGGGGGCCGCGGGTAGGGCAGGCCGGGGCTCTTTGTCGACTGTCCGCACGGAGTCGGCACTGAGATCGGGCGAGGCGCGGCGGTTGAGGCCTTGGGCCCTGCTCGGAGCCTTTGCAGGCCGCGCGGGCTCCCGGTCGCTGTCGGGCCAGGAAGGTCCTCTAGGTGCCTTGTGCTCCCTGCCTATATCTCTTAGAGCGTTTAGAGGCTCTTGTCAGTCTGCCCACGGCGTGTGTTCGCACCAGTAGCTTGACACTCACCACGTGGCCTCCAAACTTGGAGATTCACAATTGGAAACCGCCATACAGGTATGATTGATTTCGAGATAGGTTGCTGCAGTGTAGTTTGCAATTACCTTAGAATTTACACACAGATATATTGTTGGTACAAACGGCCTAAGTGTGTTACATTTTGGTTTTTGGAACCTGTCCTGGAACTAGCACTTGTAGACCAGACTGCCCTCGAACTCACAGAGATCCACCTTCCTTTGCCTCCCAAGTGCTGGGATTAAAGGCGTGCACCACCACCGGCCAGGCTACATTGTTTTAATGGATTAATTTAAACAATTGATGTCTAAAGTCTTAGTCACCTGGTTTTCTTATCCTTCAAAATTCTGATTAGTTTAGATCTAGAATTTGTGTAGCCTAGAATAATGTTGAAGTTTTTTTTTTTTTTTTGTATGTGCTGGTGTTTTGCCTGCCTTTTATGTGCACCACGTGCGTGCAGTACCCAGGGAAGAGTTCATCGAATTCCCTAAAACTGGTTGCAGCTGTCCACTCCCCTTGGTGGTTTTTGGAGACAGGGTTTCTCTATTTAACAGGTCTGGTGCCCTGGCATCTGCTTTGTAGATCAGGCTGTACGCGAACTGAATGCCGTCTGCATCTGCCTCCCGAGATCTGGGATTAAAGGCATGCGCCGCCGCCACCTGCCCAGTTACAGCCCTTTTTAAGCAGCCATGAGGGTGCTGGGAATTTAATTTCTGGTCCACTGAAGTGCAGCCCAGTACTCTTAATGCTAAGCCATCTGTCCAGACTCACCCCAGAGGTTCCTGTGTGTTCTTTCTTAGGGATTACAGGCCTGTGGGCGTTTTGACCAGTAGTTTAGTTTTGCACCACAATCTCAGTAATGATGCTCTTGTTTCAGCCTTCCATGGGTACTCATTGGAAGTAGTAATACTATATTAATTACTGTGTGGCTGGCTGGTGGTAAAGTCACTGAGGTGTTCAGGTAAATTTAAATAGAAAAAAAAACTGCATTGCAATGTGGTTTCTTATGCCTGGATTCCTGGTGGTGTCCGGGAAGCCAAAAAACATACCATCTCATGTAGCTGGAGTTAAGAGAATTGTGAGCCACCGAGTGTAATCTAAAGTGGACTATCCTCAGATCGATTTTTATCTGAATTCACGTGGTGGTATGGTGTATGCTTAACTTTAATGAAGACTCTTGAATGTTCGGGAAGGTGCATAACACTGAAATTTGTAATTGCAGAAAACTGGGTAAGGCAGAGAGAAAGTGATGGCTCAGTCAGAAGGGAACTCTGTTGACTGCATGACACCTGATGGAGCTGACGACACTGGAAACCACAGGTAAGGCAGATGGTGGGTAAACTTCTAGGTTCAGTGCACAGTTCAATTTATTTTGAGACAAGGGCTCAGTAGTGACCACTGGTGGGCTCATTCAAATGACAATGCCTATGCCCCCAAGAGCTGGGATTAAAGGCGTATTAAGACGCCCTGCTATAATTGTACTACAGAAAACTCTCCGAGCTAAAAACGGGACATATTTTTATCTTAGGATAAGATAAGACGAAATTGACTTTTGTCCCATAGGTAGTGCTTTACTGGTTAAGCAGATGATTTGTGGAGCTTTTCTCTTGAAAGATAAAATTGAACATTTAACAAGCTGGTGCTTTAAATATGATGGCTATATTAACTGTACTTGGTCCATTCTAAAATGTTGGGTATGATTTGGGGGGGCTGGCTTTTGAAGGAATGTCCATTTAAACTTTGAACATTTTCATCCAGTTTGTCTTAAGTGTACTTTGCCTGCAGTCTGTATCATAGGAGTTCTTGGTTCTCCAAACAGGAGAGGTCATTGAGCTCCTTCAAGCTGGAGTTGTAAATACTGCCTGAGCAGCCTCGCCACTCAGGAATGGGAACTGTTTCTAGTGATGAGTCAGTAATGCAGTTTATTTATTTATCTATTTTAGTGATGACTCATCTGAAAGCTTATTTAAAACACAGTACATTCCTTTACCCACACAAAAGCAAAGAAAGCCTACTGCAAAATGTGTCATTTCACCTGCGAACGTTGAAACTGACTCTTCAAGTGACTCCTCTATAGAACCAAGGCCTTTGACTTTAAAGGCCATTTTTGAAAGATTTAAGAAAAAGAAACGGAAAAAGAGGAAATACAAGCCAAAGTCGAGACCAAGGGAAAGACCATCTGGAATAAAGAACACTAGAAACCCTAGGAGGTCACAAATAGATGTGAAACAAATTAAAGACAAAGGAGCTGTGCTTCCATTCTTAGAATCTGAAAATGGAAGAAAACCCTTACCTTGGAAGAAAATTTTAACATATGAGGTGAGTCATTTTCATGTATGTGGTAAAATTAAATGGGGTTGATGTCCCCCCCCCCCTTCCTCTTCCAGTCAGGGATTCTCAGTAACAGCTCTGACTATCCCAGAACTTTGTAGACTAGATGACATGTTTGTTAGCCATTCTTAGTTAAGGTGTACCTGGAACACACTTGGTTACTTTGACACTAAACATAGTGGCTTCTATGTAAAGTCTGTTTCTGTCTTAAGTTCGAGTATTTCTGAGTGAAGTCTGCACTGGCATTTTTTAGTGTGCATACAGTTTCAGAGAATGATGTTCCAAGTGTTCTATGCAGAAAAGCCCTTTATCTTGTCTCAAATACTCTCAAGTATACCATGCCCAACTTTCATTTCAGTAGCCCAAGTCAAACCTTGGCATCACTTGCTCAAGTCCATTTTTAGAAGTGCCCAAAAGGCTGGAGAATAGGAACATAGAGGATGCTGCTTGCTAGCTGGTCATGCATTGGTAACCCAGCAGCCCTTGCTGAAGAACATGTAAGGACATAGGGTCACAGCCATCTCTAACCCCAGTGATGCTTCCTTCAGTTCTCTGAGGGCACCAGGCATGCATACAGTGCACATGTAGGCAGTCAGAACACCCATATGCATGAAATTAGGAAAATTTGAGTGCCCAGATAATTAAGTTTTTAAAGTATTTGAGTATTAAATGTAGAAATGCACATAGTCCTTTGGAATTTGTAAACAGAAAGGATTAATGTCATTCTTTCCATGTATATGCATGTACAGCCTTAGCATAGCTTGCCAATTTAGGTTGTCTTTCTATTCAGCTTGTTCTTGGTACTGTCTACACCTTCCAAGTCTGGAATTATAGTACACTCAGCATTTACATGTTTTCTGTTTCCAAATCTGGTCCACTTGATGCACAGTGAGCCATCTCTCAGCCCCTTGTAGAATTTCAGGCTTTATTATATTTAATTTAAGGAATTGTGTTTTCTGACTTGAAGCAAGCTGTTGCAAGAGGATTTTTTCACCACATTGAAAAACTCAAGTATGAGCACCATCTTAAGGAATGCTTGGAACAAATGCATGCTGGGGAAGATTTAGAAAAGGAAGACTTCGACAGCCGGAGACACAAGTACATGGATGATGATGGTCCTCTTTCTCCCATTGACGAGCCATTGTAAGTTGGATCTTGAAGAATAATTTGTTCCTAGGCTAGGCTTCGTGGTTTGTGTTTTTATTTTTTATTTTTTTGATTTTTTTTTGAGACAGGATTTCTCCATAGCTTTTTGGTTCCTGTCCTGAAACTAGCTCTTATAGACCAGGCTGGCCTTGAACTCACAGAGATCTGCCTCCCGAGTGCTGGGATTAAAGGCGTGCGCCACCACCGCCTGGCCTTGTGTTTTTATTTTTTAAGGTAACTTAATGTGCAATTCCACATTTAGCTATATAGCTTTGGCTGGGCTTGGACTCATTACCTCTTTTCCAAGTGCTAGTGGTAAAGACATGTGACCTTGCTAGACTAACCATCCACTGATCTAATGCTGAAGCAGTAACAATAATTTCCACCACATTTAGGATTGTTTATGTTAAGTAGATGCACAGGGTATTGATTTGGAGACAGGATATTATGTATTCCTTAGAGTATAAGTCTTTTAGCATCAAAATATAAGGTAAGATATGTGATATGTTTTTAATGTTTTATGTTTTTAATGTTACAGGACAGAAGACGAGACAACAAGTCCTGAGTCTGAATGCGATATCAAATTGGTTGTAAGTGATCTTTATTATTTATGGAATGTAGAAGTTGGGTTTTTTTTTTTGCCAGGGACAGAAGAGGTAGCTTTATTATAGAAACGCTGAGCCAGCAGGTTTAAAATAGAGACAGACTTTCAAGTGCACACCAGTCCAGACTCCCCTCCAGTTTCTCACATGTTTGTCCTCTGCAGTAGTCACTTCCTTAGTGTCTCAGACACAGGAATGTAGAAGCTGTATACAGTTGCTTCTATAAAAATTTTGTTTAAACTTAACATAGGAGACATAAGAATGGAAATACCCAAGGATATTTGATATTGAGCTTTTTTTCTATTGCTGCTCTTAATGCTTATCCCCGATGTTGGGATTCAAAGCTCAGGGCTATGCATTTACATTATGACAAGTTACTCATACTCAGGGTGTGTTCCTGCAATCATGTGTGGAGGCTGGAAGTCAGTATCCTTTCTTAATTTTGTCAGATAATATCAACCCTGATATCACAGACCAGTGGATTAACATCCTAGCACTTTTCTTCCTGCTATAGGCATGACTCTATTCTTAAGGGTTTTTTTGCTTAATAAATTATTACATATTAGTGTTTTGCCTGCAGACATATCCATGTCTGATAATCTGGGGAGGTCAAGAAGAGGTCACTGAAGTTAAACACGTTGGTGCTTGGAATTGAATATTAGTCTTCCGTTAGGAAGATAAGCCAGTATTATCTCTGCACTTACTAAAATGCTTTGTAATTAACATTTAAGTAGTCTAATATTTATGTGGGCTGACATGAGAAAATAATGTAGATGTTAATTTGGACTTTGAATAAATAGATGTAGCTCTCATCCACCTGTCAGTGGTGAGCTTAGTTGCTAACAGTGATTTTTTTTCTTTAAATGTAGCAAAACAGTTGCTTCATAATAAGCTCAGAATTTCCAAAGAGAAATTTAGAACAAAAGAAGACCAAGAAAGAATCTGCATTCTCTAAAAAAAACTAAGGGTAAACATAACTGCACAAGAGAGCACGCTGAACAGCCTGGAAAGGAAATGTACATCTGACTTATCAAAGAAGGTAAAGAACACTCAGAAACAGTGACTTAATAGAAAGACATGACTACAGGTGTTTCATTTGGCAAGTACATGAAGAAAGTACCTGAGCCAGCTTGCGAAAGAAGCCACAGGACTGGGAAAGCAAATACTTAGGAATTTCTTTTTAGAGCTTGGATACTGGAACATTAAAAACAATTGTGATACTGATCCTGGAAGAAAAATGCTAATAGGAAATCCTACACGTCTTTCTGGTTTCAGGAACCCCAGCCCAGTGACTGATTCCAAACAAAGTTTTTAAAACAGAATCATATCTTTGTGTTTAGCTTGCATGAATGTGTGTATACATCCTAGTACCCAGGGCCAGAAAGTATCAGGGCTCTTGGAAATGGAGTTTACAAGATGGTATTAACCAGCCATCTTGTGAGGTGAGGGATGTAAGCTAAATCACATCCTCTAAGAATGCTCTTCTTTGAACAGACTTTTCATACACTCTTTCTCCCAAACACAGCTCCAGGATGCTACAACCCCTGTGTGCTAACTTCTGACTAGGTGTGTAGTTCTTTAGTCAAAGAGTGTCTTTCCCTAGGATACTTCATACATCCTGTGGTCACACTGTAAAGCTGGCTTTTGTGGGCAGCACTTGTGTATGTTTTTGTTCAGGTGGTGGACAAAGGCAGGTTAGACAGGTGCAAAAATAAATCCTCTTTTGCAACCCAGAACTCATTGTTCAATATGAGTTTTGATACATACAAGAAGGAATATATATAATTCAGCATCAAGGGATTATGGTATTGATGAGGTTAGTTCTTCACTATCCTGGACTTTTGAGGCATAGGTATCTAATGATGAATGTTTCTTTTTTAAAGGCTTTATGAAGTCAGAATTGAAGATACCCATGAAGGGATGTTTGTTTCAATGTAGTAAGTGGCATATTATCAGTTTATATCTTCAGAGTTGTGTGAAAGGGGAGTGCTCTAGCCTTCAGTAAATCCTGGAGCATGTTCAAGCATGAATATTTAGAAATAATTTGAAATGAGAAGTTTAGCAGGTGAAGGCTATAAGGCCTCATACTTAAGTTAAAATATTACCTATAAACGTTCTGAAACGTATAATTAATCTCAAATACAGGTGGTAGCACAAACCTTTAACTTTAAACCCAGCACTATGGAGACAGGCGGGTGGATTTCTATGAGTTCAAGGCTAGCCTGGCATATAAGAGCTAGTTTCCAGGACAGCCAGTGCTGGACAGAGAGAACCCTGCCCTAAAAACAAACCAAAATAAATTAGCAAATAATAGTATATGTGTACTGGTGATTAGAACAGTTTGGTAAAGAATTCTTACCATGTGGTAAACTGATTAGTATTTGAGAACACAGCCTTCTAAGAGCCTAACTGTTCTGTGATGACTTTTTGTGATTTCCTTCAGCTCCTATTTGTAGATGTTCATATGTAGGCTTCACAATGATTGCTTTTTGAGGTCTATCCCGATGGGGCTTCCTCAGTAGCCACACATCGTTGGAAACGCCTCATATAGTAACTTGTGGTTGCTTGACTCACAGGGCTGCTCGTGGTTAGGTCTGTGAAAGAAACTACAAGACATCTAAAATGTTTGAAGCAATAATATATCACCTTTTCTTTTAAACTTCAGGCCCTGGTATGCCTTCACAATGATTAGTATGATGTTAGGTAAGTCTGGCACTGTATCTTGGGGAAGTATAGTAACAGTTCAAATGATGAATTAAAACTGTTCAGCTGCTGAATGATACAGACATGAACTAAAACTTAATTCTGATAGAACTGACTACAGCTATTAACTCTGGACAGTGAACTTAGTTTTCATAACTGGAAATCCAATCTTAAAATCTTATGTCCTATTCTAGGAATGAGTAAGCAGAACTCTTCAAACACACTGGTAAGTGAAACTGAATCTTGTTGGTTTTTATTGTGTTCTCAGCAAAAACAATTGCTTTATGTATAGACTAGAAAAACCGTTTCTTTGTGCTTTCATGTCATGCTAAGTGTCTAGAAATGATGTTTGAGTTCTTTAATGATACACTCCTGTAATCCTAGTAGTTGGGAGCAAGGATCAAGTTAGAGGCCAGCCTGGGGAACAGGGAAACTTGCTGAGTAGGTAACTCACTAGATAAAGAGCCATCGGTCCCAGAGTACCACAGTTCAGAACCATTGCAGCCAGGCAGTCTTGATAGCCAAACCTGGGATCTCTGGCTTCAGTGAGAAACACTCAACCAGCAGTGTGTGTTGCAGTTTACATAATGCAGATACATTAGGCCAGTTAATGGTTTGATTTGGGCAATTTTCCAGTGGGAGTGGAATGAAGGCTCTGAGATGGAATGCTGCATAAACTGAACAGCTGAAAGCCCATCCAGCCTCCTTAACATGTGGAATGTTTGTATGATTTAGAGGAGATAATGATTAGGAGATTAGGACCGTATCATTAGTTTCTTCATTAGGAACACCAGGCTGAGGGTTTAGGAATTGGCACTGCATGGTATCTGCACTCAGCATTCCTTTCCTGCTGGTGTGTTCAAAAGACAGTGCAACAGAAATTCACTATCTGGCATCGTTGGTGTCTTGGCTTTGTGCAAGATAACCTGGTATTTCTAATGATACAGTTATTTTATACTGGATATGGGTGCCCTGTGGAGGTCAGAGCAAGTTTGATTGAAATACGGGTTCTAGGGAGTAATTGGTCTAAGCTTGGTGGCATCACCTGCTTGATGAAACTACTCACTCTTTTTATTCCTAGGGTGTCAACAAGTGAGAGGCCTGGTTTAAAATGGTAAGGCCCCATTTCTGTTTGCTTCTAGATGGTTTTATTTGATGCATAGTGCATGAGGCTGAGCCTCATTCTACTTAAGATGGGCACTGTCAGTCAGTGTCTAGAACTGGTGAATGTGGCTAAATTGAGACACAGGTCATGCTTCCATCACAGTAGATGCATTACAGTGGTGACAATGAGGCCTGTGACATTTGCCCACTATAATCTTGGGTTTGAAGACATGTTAATAATTAATTTCATAGCAGCTGGAGAGATGGCTCAGTGGTTAAGAGCACTCTTGGTTCCCAGCAACCACATGGTGGCTCACAACCATCTGTAATGAGATCTGGTGCCCTCTTCTGGCCTGTAGGCATACATACAGACGGAATACTGAGAATACTGTATACATTCATAATACTTTCTGTGTTCAATCTTTTAGGTTCCTAAAGTAAATTGGTTTGAAGAAGGCACCAGAATTTTTATGGTAAGATGCTAGCTTGAGATGATAGACTGAAATTTGCTGCTCTGGAAAGACACTACCAGTAAGATGATGTTGTGATGATAGACAATGTTCAACTGCTCTGAATGGGCTGAGTGAAATAGCCTCTCTGAACATCATCTATTGGTGGATCTCTCAAATATAAACACAAAGGATCTTTGAATCTGGTGAACAGTGTTGGAATGTAGCTTACATATGTGAGCAAGACAATCTGGCTTCATAGCCCATCTGGCTATGAACTAACAGTCCTGCCCTCTCCGAAGGGCCGTGGTTTCAGACAATATTTATTGCACGGAGCAATTTGAGATGAGAATTTTCAACACAGATAATTTTGGGCAGTGGATTTTAGGATACTAAATGAGTAACCTCAATCTTAATTATACATTTTTTTTTCCACAGGTGAAAAACTGAATTAGTCATGAGTGTTCTGGCTTAAATTCAAGGAGAGACGAGAACAAAAGGCAAGTAGTAGTAGTCATTTAATGTTCTTATTGTAATGGTCATTACCAAGGCTTTGAGAATTCAGTTTCTTATTTGCTGTGGACATGACCATAAAAAAATTCCCAATAGGTTTTCTATGTGCTGCTTGCTAGCAGTTAACCTGTTGGGGACATTTTATTCCTGATGAGTAAATTCCTATGATTATGTTAGAATGCTCAGGTACTGACCTCTACCTTGTTCTTGTTCTACAGGGCTAAAGAGTACAATCAGACAGAGTGAAAGGTGCGTATGCAAGAAACACTTCAAAGAGGGTCATTTCAAAGAGGGCTTGTTGGACTGTAAAACCAAAAGCTCTTTACGCTGTGACCAAAGATTGATGTTCTTTACAGAAGAAAGCAGGCACTTGATAGTAGTGTTGTGTTTTTCTGAGAAGAGAACATGCATTCCCCAAGTCAAAAAAGCTGTGAGAGCTTAACTTAATTCTTTTTTTATCTCCCTTCAGAAATCTGGGAACCATGTGACTCAGGATGGAGAGCAGTGGAATCAAATCCCTTAAATAAAAATTTATTTACAATAAATAATTTTGTCTAGCTTTATACATGAAACTAAAAGAAAACCCTTTACACAGTTTATAGGAAGTCAGCATGTATTTTTGGCTCGAAGTTTCTCTAGTGTTTTCTGTAGAAGGAATGAAAATTAATTTAGTTTTGTTTGAATTTTGTTTGCTTTTTAGAGGGAAAAACTGGCTTCTGCTCACCTTATGAAATTCTTTTGCCCTTGCTATATTTTGGGCACAGACTTCTTGCTTTGTTTTTTCTTCTCTTGGCTGTTTTACCTCAGCTAACTGCCTGTATAATCTGTAAGAAATGTACATGGGATTAAATCGGCATTAATGGCTAAATACTACCAGTAAATAAAATAACAATGTCCATACCTTAGTGCCCTCTGGTGTATGAGGGATTGTGTGGTCCTTTTCTCTTCAGGGAGAGGTGCTCTGACTTTACTGACACCCTTCCGGCGGCTCAGGGACAAACCTAAAATTAAGGGATGGATTAAAGGATTTCTTTAGGTTCTTAATCTCATGTTTTGTAAAAAAAAAAAAAAAAGGAAACATACCTGTTGTGAGTTGAGTTTTATTCCGCATCTCTCTCTGTCTCTGGTAGGATCGCTCCATAAATGTCTTTTTTCTTTTCATTGTGACTGCAAATTTTTAAAAGTCTTTACAGAAATCCTCATTTCAGTTAAATGAGGATTTAACTGGCTAGGCAGTAGTGGTGCTTTGAAGCAGAGGCAGGCAGATCTATGAGTTCGAGGCCAGCCTGGACTTACCTGAAGGTGCCACTTGGGGTTGATCCATACCAGACTCTAATACAGCTCCAAAAACAGAGGTTTCTGTTGAACACGGACCTGCCTGATTTTGAGAAAGTAACTTTGTTTTGCTGTGTTTTCTAGGCTTTGTTAGAAAACAACCAAATCTTGGGGCCCCCATTTAACTTTGCAGACCAGGTACCATTGGGCAAAAGTTGCTGCTGGCACCAACTCCTGCATAACTTAACCTGTTTAAGGCACAAAACATGCTGCCTGACTAAGGGGTTGAGCAAGTCCTCCACAGGGCTAATGGCATTTACCTGGGAACAGCTCTGTGCTTCACTGCCTCTCTCTTCAAGGGTTAAGTTAGCAAGATCTGTTTCAGCAATGCTGATGTCACTGGTGCTTACTAGAGTGAGATCTGGTTCTTCCATTATACCATAGCCAGATTCTGTTTCCTGTTTAACAATTCAAAGAGGAGCATGTCTTATGTTTGGGTCGATACAGTATTTCTCTGTAAAAGCCCTGTCTTGGAACTTGCTCTGTAATCTACCCGCCTCCCCAAGTGGTGAGATAAAGGTGTGCACCACCTGGTTAGTCTAAAACTGCATAAAAACTCAGGACCTATGGGAGGAGCAGTGTGGAAGAACTGGGTGTCCTTGGTCTGGCTTTGAATTCAGACCCTTTTTGAATCTTTTGGCTGGTCACCACCTGCCCATCTCTGCCTTCTTAGCATAAAGTAAGACCACAGCTTGTTGACTATAACGTTGGAAATAAGTAGCCTAATGAACTGAACCAAACTTGCATGGCTGTTTTCAATTCTGCTGGAAAGATTTCTCAGGAAGAGGGTGCTGTTTTACAAAACACTTACCCAGACAGGAATAGAGCTCGGAAATGAATTTGTAATGTGCTCTGCTTCTGATACCTGAGATGGATTTGTGGTTTCAGTTTTAAATCTGTTCTGAATAGATATTTCATTTTGAACACTCAATGAATGAGACCCCTCGGAGTTTTCTACAGGTGGATTTATAATAGCTTCATTCTTATCTTGAGTGAGCCTTTGGCTTTGTGGCAGTGTAACCACTTTTCTTGACAGCTCCTCAAAGCCCAGCATAGAGGTAGAAGAGCCTGGAGAACTCCGCAGGAGGTGTAACTGATTAAATACAGTGGAACCATCAGGAGAACTGCACACTGGACTCTGGTTCTCTGTTGAGGACTGAAAATGAACACTTTTTTCCTTATTTTGTATTTCTGTCTGTTCAGAATAGTCATGGTTTTCCCTGCCTTGGGAGGCACCTCTTGCTTCGATGCTGTAAATACTTGGTAGATCAGCATGTTGGCTTTCCTGTGAAGAGAATTCTGGTAGAAGCTGCTTGAAAGATTGTTCAGGTCCTGCAGTAAAAAAAGTTAACAAAGTCAGCATAAATACTGGATAGAGAAAGTCACATTTTAAGTAGAATGCAAACAGGGTTTTATGACCTACAGTTTTAGATGGGAAAGTTGATATATAAGCACAAAAAATCACCAGGGTTCTGAACAACAAATACTTAAGTTAGTTAAGTATATATTACATAATTACATTATTTAATGAACAGATCCTCAAAAAGAGGAAAGTCTTGGGCTTTCACGTACCTCCAGCACCAAAACTCTGTGTTGCAGCATGAGCTAGGCTAATAACATCAGGCTGCTCTGAATTGGCCCTAAGTGCTGTGAAACAAGCTGTGCTTCTGGAGGATTCCTTAACATCAGGTTTCTTAGATGAAGATTCGGAGCTCTGCTGAAAACAAAGGCTGAAATACTGACTCTGTATTATAACAACCCATACCCTGCCCGGAATGATCTAGTTGCCGTGAGCTAATTAACCACTTTCTCTGATTTCTGTAAACATACTTAATGCTGAGTGTGGAAGCTGGGATGGAGAAGGGGAACAGCACCTCGTAGAGCTACAAAGTCCACAAAACAGCTGTTGTTTCTGCCTTTAGAAAAACAGTACTAATCCTATAATTTGTGTTGTCAAATGGTCTTAGTGAACTGTCAGCATGCTTACTGATGTAAGTATGAAAAGTATTTCCTCCCTTGGTGTTGGAGACTTGAGTGCAAGGACTTATGTTCTATTCAGTCCCAACCCCCCAGAAAGACAGACAGGCTGAGCGTGATGGTGTGCACCACCACATGGGTCAGCCTGTCTTGGTAACTTAAGCTTGGACTACAAAAAAAGAACAGGATGAAACAAATCACTTATGTAAACTTTAATTTACCTCATGAAAGTCTCTGTTGTCTTGAGAAATCCCAGAGGAGGATGGTGATAAGTCAAAATCTAGATATGGCTTCAAGGGTTTAAAGAGCTGGTGATGCAAGTGTGGAAATACATGTTTCAGTTCTGGAAAGTCAAGGTCCACACCTGAAACTTGGAGGGAGGGAAAGAAAGGGAAGGTTTAGTGAGACTTGGAAAAGGGTTCAGACATTTCTGATATAGCAGGATTACTTCCATTTATTTTCCATGCTCAGTCATGATTGTTACCGGGTATAAATGGAATCTTCTAGTGAGTCTAGAAACTAAAATTCAAATCTCCATTTTACCAGCTTCATAGGCTTCTATGGTTAATTAGGAATGAAAGCCACATAAAACTATCTGGGAAAGCTTAACTATAAGCTTTGGGTTCTTGCTCAGCTCAATTCATGATTAATAATGTAAAATGGGAAATGTTCACTATACTGTCTTGTTATTGGGGTGCACGTACTGGATCTTATGTGCAAATCTCATTTAATTTCAAATTCTTCAATGGTTTCATGACAGGAATCTCACTCAAATCCCTGCCTTAGTTGTAGGGAGATGTCTCCATTAATCTCTTCACACTTTTTTTGTTGTTTAAAAATTATCTTCATTTATTTATGTGTTTGATGTACATGTGCATGCCATGGTGCACCTGCCACAATGCTTGTGTATAGGACAGCGATAACTTTCAGAAGTCAGATCTCTCAACCATGTGGATTCTGGGGACTGAACATAAGGTGGGTCATGGGTTGACAGCAAGTACCTTTAATGTAAAGCCATCTAGCTGGCCCCTACTATTCTCCAGATGCCTTGTCTCATAAATGCCCTCAATATCTATGGCATAAATGATGTGCAGGTGATAAAGAATACGAAGTTCAAACAATACTTAAAACTAAAGACGATGAAAGGTGAAAGCTAGGAAAATACTCTTTTAAAATTTTACCCTGCAAGTCTGTTTTTTCAGGTATCAAATTTGCTTCATGTAAATCCTTGTCTATGATCTGTTGAACATGCGTAGGATCGGATGCCTTTTCTTCCTCCTTGGGCAATAGAGACTCACTAGCACCCACGGGGTGCAGCTGCTGATAAATGACTGGCGTTAAAGGCACTGCACAACTAAAAGGAGAAGTCTCTTCTTGTTTAGTGGTAGAGTCTTGTTCTTGAAGCTCCATCTGTTCCGAAAATGACTCTAAAATTTGAGTTTAATCAAAACATTTAGTTAACATTTGTAACACATTAATTTAATGGCTGGCTACTTCCTCACAAACATGTCATAGCAGTATATATTGCTGAGACTGATGCAACCAGAAATCTGTTCAGAGAGATTTCCACTAAATGGGATGATGTGCCAAAGTGCATGAGTGACTGTTGTTTATAGTATTCTATTCAACACTGATGTTTTCCTTTGTAGGCTTGAGACAGCTTTCCCCCAAACACACCACCAGGACACAGCATGGAGAAGCAGTGCTTCCTCCATCACCACACTGGCACGCAGCCAGTGCCGCTCCTTCACTGCATTCACAAAGTTTGATAGTACCTGGATCTGTAAGGCTCAAATCTGTGACTTCATAGCTTAAGAAGCTTCCAGTAGAAACAGTTACTGAAGATAACAGCTCCTGAGACATCTCTTGTGTTTCAGCCTAAAATTTCAAAGACAATATTGGATCATAATGTATCAGGACAACAAGAAAAACCACAAATGATCAACAGTGCTAGTTGTTAATTCTGAGCTCAGGTCAAGTGTAGAAACCTTCATAGTGACAAGGTTCAGTATTAACGCCTTTTCATCATTGCTCAGAAATGATTTTCTCTCTCTCCTCTCTCTCCTCTCTCTCTCTCTCTCTCTCTCTCTCTCTCT